AAAAAGCATTGCAGCACTTGCGATATCGCATTATACAGGTAAACGCATCACTATCTGTTAATCACATGATTTTTACCTCGGAGCAGCACTGACCGCCTTTTGACCTGATGTACTTTAAACGAAGATGCTGTTCTGTACGATACACACTATTCCAAAGTTACCATTAAATCCATTTTTTACTCATTTTGTTACACTCAACGAGCGCTTTATGGTATTTTTTGTTGTAATTCTAAACCAACAAGTTAACAACATTAGATAAACAAACATCCATTATTGTAAAGATCAGTAATAGCAAAACTCCATTATATAAAGTTGACTTTATTTATTCATTTATTTAAAGCGACTATAGTGTTAAAAAACACTACGAGAAAACAATACAAAACGTTCTAATTTCCAATAGCATGTTACAAAACTAAGACTTTCTGTTAATTACTGAAATTAAAAGTCACTTGAAACCATTTTTTTATTAATATCTAAAAAAAAATAAAGAATGTAAACAGTGCGGTCTTGACCTAATTCATACATTACCGCTCGTAACCCTGATGCTGCGCATGCGTATAAGCCTAGAAAGAAGCAATCTAGCGGACGCAAATACAAAAAGACGACGAGGACCTTAAAGTTACCTTACAGAAAGTGAGAGAAAGCTTAAGAGAAAGGAGTCAGACCAGAAAAGAGGACAGGCAAGAATTTATATTAGACAGGAGATCGATAGATGGCGAAAGAGGAAGGCGGATCTTGGACTGAATACGGATTCGGAATTTGCGAAGCTGCTACTTGACTGGTTAGCTTAACGTAAGCCCTATAATTACAACGTATCCGCCTGTCATTGATCATAATTCAATATCCAGTGTTTGACGCGTGAATAAGTTATGAACAACACTACTAAAAGTGTTATCTGATAAATGGTGAATAGTTGTATTTTTCGCTTGAATTTACTATCGACAACAATGGGTTTGTTGTTGACTGCAAGGTGGGGCCCAATTGGGGGTATGCGTTCTAAATGTAAAAATATAACGGTAATGGTGTTACTGTGAGACTAACGAATACCGGCTTTCTTCGTAATAAGCAGAGCATGAACATGTTTATAAACGACAATCGAGACAAACAATGTTCCGACGTCGCAAATATGTACATAAACAACACATTTGACGTTATAGGCGCGTGTATCGCTTTATTATGGATAAATTTTATTATTCATAAGCCGAATTTTCCTTTTCCCGATGTTGGAATCTAAAGTAATATCCGCTTTAACATTTCTGGCAAAAAGTATATTTACAAGAAAAGCTCAAAATCCCAATGTTCATGTCACCTACACTAGACAAAAAATATTTACACGCATCCTTCCACAATCTGTAAGAAGTTCCATTAGCTTAAAGTAAACGGAATGCAAATTTAACTGTAAAAGCTTTTAGCTATAGACATAAATCAGGACAGTGTAATCCATCGTTACGCTTATCACCGATGACAGTTTTAAACGATACAAGATGATATGTATCATTCCATAGAAAACCAATACACAACTTATTTAATTCATTTTTCACACCATCTGGTATACTCGTAACAGCAAGTGTGTACCAACATTTAAACAAAAAACAAAGATACGATAACTGTAAGGTATTACGTGTATAGTTAGGTTTCTCTGAGACCATAACTGTAAAAGCTCATCACAGAGAGCGTCAATCTTTCCCAGATATACTTCGACAATTAAAATAACATCTTTTAAAAGTTTTAATTTATTCAAGTTACATTCATTTTCAGATATTTGTCACCTACCAATACAAAGTAATTCAGTTTTTGATTTGTTTACTTTCGCATCAGACTATTGACTATATGTCTCCAAAACATTAAAGACTCCCTCAATAGATCTTTTTTTTTGAAAGGGTCAAAGTGGTATCATCAGCGTGTTGTATTGTCTGTCCAAGAGGTTCAGTAACCAAGACGTATAGTAACGCAGATATTGGACAGCCCTGCCTTACTGAATTCCGGATAGGGGAAAATTGGTTAAAAACCCTTTACAATTAACACTACTATAGATATCAGTATAAAAAAATCTTAATCCAATTTATGAAATTGGGCCAAATCCAAACTTCTCTATCACTTTTAACAGATAACCCTGGTGAACTCTGTTGAAAGCCTTTTCCTGGTCAATTTTAAGAATATATCCTTCTAATTTATTCCTTTCAAACAAGTTCATAACATCTGTAACACTGGATATATTGTCCGCTATGTCTCTGCCCAACACACAACAACTTTGGAAAGGGGAGATAATTGAAGGCAAAACCTGTTTCAGTCTATTTGATATAATTCTTGTTAGAATTTTATAATCGACGTTCAGCAGGCTAATAGGCCTTCAGTTTTTTAGGCAAACTTGTTCACCCTTATTCTTATATAACAGATTTATCACACCCAGTTTCATTGATTTAGAAACTTCCCCTTTTTTACGGATATTATCAAACAAATGCAAAAATATACTTTCAAAATCATCATAAAAATGTTTGAAAAACTCTACTGTCAGTCCGTCTTTCCCCGGACTTTTATTATTAGGTATTCAACTTAAAGCTGATTTTATTTCCTCGCTACTAATAATATCATCACATGATAAGCATTCACTTTCAGACAAATTTGTTGCAATGCATTGTAAAAAAGAATCAATTTCATCTTCACAAACTTGTACACAAGAATATAAATCTCTGTAAAAGGAATATATTACATTTAGTAGTGAATCTGTATCAGAAACTAAGTCACCATTTTTATTAGTAAGTTGTTTAATAGTTTTAAACCTTGTTTGTACTTTTCCAGTCTTAAAAAATAACCAGTATTCCTATCACCGTCAACTGCCCATTTAGACTTCGGTTTCAAAATCGCCCCATCACACTTTTCTTTTTCATACAGTTGTAAATTTTTTGAAATTTCTTATTTTATATTGTCCCACCAAATTAAAGGGTAGGTGCAATACATTTCATCCTGTTTTCTGTCAGATATAATCTTTTTAATTTTATACACAAATTCTGCTTCCAAAAAAAAAGTGTTGTTAAGAATCCATAACCATGTATCTTTCTCTAAGTTATCTAAATCAATTTTCAGTGAAACAAACGCATGGTCACTCAAAAAAGTGTCATTAAAGAACACGTTCTGGATACAACTTAATCATTCCTGGGAAACGATCAAATAATCAATTCTACTTTGACGCAAATAACCGTTTTTGATTTGTTTGGGCGAAAAAAAACAGAACAACTCTTATCTCTTCTTCTCCATGCATCAGTTAAATTAAAATAAATTCATTTTCTAAAACATTTATCAACAACATGACACGATGACCCACCTCTGTCTAAAACGACTAAGGGTGGTATCAAAATCTCTACCAAATATGATATTACCGTCCACATTACTCAACCTGGAGTTTACAAAATGAAAAAAAAAATCAGAAATTTAGAACATTTGGCGCGTAAATATTAAAAACATTTAAAATAGAACCATCAATATCAAATTTTACATGTAAAAATCCGACCCTCATGACCTTCAGAATTTATCACATATTTTTCCATATCATTACTAATCAATATTGCTACACCCTGATGACCACTGTCGTTATTAAAAGCATATTTTTTCCATTCCATTTGTCACTTATCTGACTTACAAAAGTGTCATTCCAGTGCGTCACTTATCATCAAACAATATTACAATTCTTTTCATTACACCAAACAAAATTTTATTTGATTTTAGTGATGTCTTTCAACCCATTACAGTTGAAAGATAACAAGTTAAACATAATCAATAATGCTATATCAATAATCTCTACTTTGTATACTTTTGAAAGGAAGTTCTGGGCTGTTTTTGCCGTGTTTGCACTTGCGGCGGTCTTTTAACTATTTTAGTTCTTGACTTCTTTAATTCTAAAACATCACTCCTCTCACACTGACTTCACTCCTCAGTACCAGACATATCAGACTCACCCCCATTTCAAAAACTCCCTTTCAGCCTCCCCACACTCTCATCTTCACCCATTGACAGTTTATCATCATCCTCATCAAGGGTAAGAGGGATTTCAACAACAGAATCAGTTAAAGTACTTTTAATAAGATAGAAATACGCCAGGTAAAATATGTCAAATGGAAGCAAGAAAAATATTCTTTATGTTAAAATAATTTATACCATTGTAAAGCTTGTTTATTCTTCTACCTAGCTATATGCAGGCATAAGGTAAAAAACTATCAGTTAGTTTAATAATTTAACTTTAGTGCACCACTTTCGCGCTTCTCATACAGTATCTTATATAGTATCGTCACTCGGTTAACAGCGGAAATATCACACAGTGTTTTCGTGTCGTGGGTATAAGGTGAGGAGAAACGTTGCCCATGTCTTACATGTATGGCAGCAGTAAACAGTTAAATGGCCATTTTCTGAAAAATAAGGGACACATTCCAGATAATTACACACAGTAGATTAACCGTGCAAATCAGACACATAAAAGTATATATTTTCATAAACTACACACCACATGCAGTTCTAATACACAATAGAGCATTGTCTAAATACATGTTTACTCTGTATTAAACACTGTTGAAAACCATGGTTACCACATTAAAAAACACTGAAAATAGCAAAATATTGTGATTTTTGACTGAAAGTCAGACAGAAATTTGAAGTATGACACATATCAACAATTTATCACTACATACCTGAGAGCAAAATGATTTATGTTTCAGGAAAATGTAACTCGGAAATTTTTCACAACACAACCTCGTGTCCAGACATCAGAATTTGGCTGCCAGTAAAGCTAGCTTTTTCTGTATAGGTACACTTTCGTATAATGGCCAAAATTGTAATATCAAACTAGGTACATTTTTTTTATGTAAAGCCCCAATATCCAACATCATCATGAATATACCAAATTTTGCCCCCTTTTTTTCATTTTTTCTACATGCATTTACACAGATGTTCTCTATTGTACAAAAAAATCACCCATGGCCACACCAAGAAACTTTGTACTGCTACCTTACATGTATTATCTACTTCTGAGAGAACAGCGTCCTCATCATGTACATCAACATTGTCCTGTAACACGTCCATGCTGTCACAGGGCTCTGCTACCTCATCCGTAACTGTCACGAGCTCAGACTCTTCGGTAACCTGCAGGGTATCATCGCGATCATCAGACTTCGGGCAAGCACATATAAACTTGTCACAGTTAATACAACGTTCGTCGTCTACCTCATCGCCATCACATCGACAGTCAAAGGAACCACACGTGTTACACAGGGACATCTTACGGATTGACTCTTCCTCCGCGCGCTCAGGCGTAGACATTCTACGCGGACAATCGGCTCTGACGTCACCGCAGCGCCTGCATGGCTCGGTCCGATAGGTACGAGCATGATGTCCCTGTCCCTTACACATGAAACAGCGGAATTGTGGACAATCTGTGAAAAGATGGTCAATCGAATGGCACAGAGAACACATACAATTCTGATTGTGGTGTGCAACATGTTAATACGCGTTGTCCAACTTTACAGTATATGGTATGGACGGAAGTGTAAGCGGAACCCTGACCTTGACAAATCTCGTATCGCCCTCTATTTCAGTCCCAAGGTAATACCGTCTTTGGAATTGGGATAAAATCGTTACCCCTAAACTAGTAAGCCTGGCCTCAAGTTCACTGTCTTCAATAAAGGCATGTATATGAAGAAAGGCGACAACAATGAAATATTTTACAACCTCCGACACATCACAGAAACGTCCGTTAATGTTGACGTCGTCTAACAATATCTAGGCCGACGCCTTACCGTCTAGAGTGATCTCGTAACCATTCCACCCTTTGGGGACACGGGCAAATAGAGCACCTGGACCACATCGATTTTCAACAACATCAAATATAAAAAAACGAGCTAGTAACTATGGCAACAACCATGAATCAGTAAATTACATATACAGATTCTTAGGTTCCTAATCCAGTAGTTCACAATACTATGAATTTCGGATGTGTTTTTTATTATTCACTTTCCTCGTCGAAAACATGTGCTGATGATTGGAATTTGATATTTTTTTTCAAATGTTTAAAAATTCTGGCAATAGTAACGTCATTTTTCGTAAAACATGATTTTTGTCCAAAAATGGAAAGCTTGTATTCCCATCTTTCTAAACATATGAGGGTTTCTTACCAAAACGATGACTGGAAAAGGGCGAAAATTCTTATTGAAGCAAAATGACAGATTTTTCTTAGTGTCATTAAAAATTCACGGGAGTTAAGGGGTTAACACACAGTGTGGTAACACCTCAGCGGTCTAGTGAGGTCTATGAAAGTTACCTCACTTCGGCAAAATTCTGTTAGCACACAGTGTAGAACTCCACAGCAGCTAAGTGAGGTACGTGAAATTTACCTGAGCGGTGTGCTAGATCACCAACTTGAAGATGGCGGAGTCGACACACTGTGTGCAAAATACTACACCATTAAAATGGGGTACACAGTAAAACGTCATGTGACGTAGAGATTCGATTTTCTACACAGAATTCATGGTCGGCAAAGCGAGGTTACGGGGGAAAGTACCTCGCTTTTTTCATCCCTCATTTCGTGACTATGTTATAATGCTTTGTACCTCGAAACGTAATGTAAACAAACAGACACACACACACACACACACACACACACACACACACACACTCACCCTAACACACACACATACACGAACAGAGGTTGTATTTTTATCGACGGTATACTACCATCTTGAAACAACGTTGGAAAATTCCTGTCAAGCACGACCTTCCCAATTCTTACTATACTAAACTATTTCTCTGTTAATCAGAAAACACCATAATGGGTTGATATTAGCATTACAACAAAATCAAGTATATCAAGCATACATATTTCTATACTGTTAAGTCTGTATAATTACAGACCAGTCTTAGAAAGACGAAACAATACAGAAGTAAAAACAGAAGGGAAATGGTCTATTTCACTACATGTCTCTACTTCTTCTTTTCTTTCTTTTCTTTTTTTGTTTGTTTTTTTTATTGTCTTATTCATTTCATTTTCAGTTTTAATTAAAATCGATGGTGTATGTTTTGTTATCATCTTTTTCATAGGTAACCAACACAATGATCAATGCTCGTCGCTTTTGTCTGTGTCTTCTCTGGTTCCTTGCTGTATATATATGTATATATATTAAACAAGACTCCCTGGGTATGTATATGAATCTAATAACTGTGGGGGTCGAGTTATTTTTATGTTCTTATTTCTACTACCTTTGAGTTTAGAATAAACGATGCTTTGAAATTTAATTAAAGAGAAAATAATCCCGTTTTGATGGTTTCCGTAAAAAATAATCTTTTCCAGATTTTGAATTTTTTTCTATAAAAATAACGTAAACATTTAGTATCAGAGTTGAAAACACCAAGAATAGCATGCAAAAAATATATAATTATATAGGAAAATCAGAAAAAAACGTTTAATGGAACTTATGTAAGTAAATATCAGCGTTAAGGGAGAGGGTTACATATTCGGATTGGTTAGTTTGTTTAATTAAGACTTAACACAATGGCATATCACAATTCTTTCAAACGAGATTATTCACTTCGAAAACCATTTCTTATTTTTCCAACACCTCATCTGTGCTTGTGTGTTCTACGGAAAGATCAATCTGCCATTTTTTTTTTTTTTGAAATTATCTTTTCTGATTGAAATATCAGCTCATATTCGCTCATTTGACGTCACTACTTTATGTGATATAACCTAATACCGTCTTCAATCAGTTTCGAAATAAATCCTAAAGGTCATTTATTATCGCGCGCATTGTGCATATATTGATATTGAAAGTGTGAAAAAAGTCGTAGTAAGATATTTTAAAAAATATATAAGTAACGATAAACATCCAAAATTTGTGATAAGGTTTTTTAAAGGTATGCAATTGCGGAAGCGTTTTCCGGCCACAATAAATTTTTATCTCAAGATTTCAAAGATAATCCAGAATTTCGAGATATTTAACCTAACTTTCTAGACAGTAAATATAGATTAGCGTATTCAGGCCACCGGACTAATTGTTAATCTTCCTATACGTAAGAATGAAAAATAATCATTCAGAAATTTCTGATATCAATATGTGTTATTTGTAAGATATGTGGCTTTAAGGGGCAGAGTCATATTTCAGTATCGCCAAGTCAGTGTTAACGGGGATACTTTTATTTAAAGAACACTTATCACAGTTATAAGGTACTTCTGTACGGAATGGACCTTACCTTGAGATACGCTTTAAGATAATAGAAAAAAAACAGAAATCATACCTTGCTGAATTATAAAACTGAAACGTATATAAGTTTGTATTTTTACTTGATACTATTTGCTAACTCGAACTTTCGGGTTACTCTCAAGAAATTTTGATGTAGAAAACTAACGTGGCTGGAGTATGCATTAGTACCTATGATAAAATGATAATAGTTTAAAAAAATAAGAAAGAAAAAGAAGTTTTGTTTATTGTATGTAGTTTTTCATTGTGAAATAAGGTTTATTCTTTCTATTTGAATTGATGACCCAAATTACTCGTTATCTAATAACGTCATTATACCGCATCTTTTTTTTTCAGTGAAACCGAACGAACTAAAAAAATGGTTGAATCCGGTTGAAAAGGTTTGTCAAGTATTTCAGTGTTTACAGTATCACCATGACATGACTTGGTAGGATGTAAGTAATTTTTGGCCAAATGTCATATTTTTATAACTTTTGATCCGAGTACTCTTGAATATGAGAAAGCTGTATATAGCAAATATTAGGTATCTATGTGAAGTACTTTTTAAGATACGGCTAGGTATACAACGACTTTAAGATTGTAGAATTTTAGCGTTAGATTACTAATTGATGACGACAGGTCACGCAGAATAACATGTACAACGTAAGTATTTCAACCTCCTCAAGACCTTTTTCTTGGAAACTTAGTCCATTTGACAATTCATATAAATGTACTTGTTCATGTTACCAGATTCGCCATTCAAGGGAATCATGACGACGTAATATTTCATGTGTACGGTTATTATGACAATCTTTATTGTTATCTGTTGATAATGACGTGTCCACAGACTCGAGTCTGTATCTGCCATAATGCTTAACAAAGACTCACAACGACACATGAAAATGTGATGCTTCTGTATAAAGTTAAAGCTTTTGTTGCGTATGTATAAACATGTTCCTATATCTTTGAAGGTAAACACTGAACTCTACTTCACCCTGTCATGTTTGGCTATATTTAATTTCGAGTCCATGTGTAAATCTGAAAAAAGAGGGTATAATACCAGTTTCGTTGCCTGTAATGACATTAAGCCAAAACCAAAAGAAAAAGAAATCTTGATGCCAAGGGGTATGGGTAAACACCACATACACACACACCAACACACACACACACACACACACACACACACACACACACACACACACACACACACACACACACACACACACACACACACACACACACACACACACACACACACACACACACACACACACACACACACACAACACAAAGCACCACACACACACGCAGCACCAGACACACTCACACACACGCACACAACCCAAAGCACCACCCACAAAAACACACAACACCACCAGCCAGCACCACACATACACACACACAGCACCACATACACAGAGTACCACACACAAACACTCAGATAGAGCACCACAAACACACATACACAGAGCACCATACACACACAGTACCACACACACACACAGAAAAAAACACCACACACACAACACCATATACAAACACAGCACCACACACACACACACACACACACACACACACACACACACACACACTCACACCACAAAGCACCACACAAACAAACACACACAACACAAAGCAACACGCACAAACACACACACATACGCACCCTCACACCACACACACACACACACATACACCCTCACACACACACACACACACAAACGCACCCTCACACACACACTCTCACACACACAAACACTGGACGATAGTTCTAGTTATGCACTGCATTCGGTTTCAAAACAGTGACAATAAAAACAAAATTGTAAACAACCGTATAACAGAATTGAACTGTATGCAATTACTTTTACGGTAGTGTGAAGGCAACAGGATACATATGAACCCTAAAATAATATGTAAACCATTGCGTTCATACCATTGCCAAACGATAAAAACATGCATATTCGATAACGGTTATATTACTTGTAACAAGTATTAATTTTATTTTTTAACATTACAACAGAAACGCGGGAGTACTCCGGACGAAAGAAAACCATATATCATAGAAGCATGCAAATCTATGAATATCTCTCTAAAGCATGGGAAACACGGAACACTAAACACCATAAAAGGCAAATATCTCCTATACAATCCAAAACATAACTTTGTCTTCTGTATGGTGCAGAAAGTAGGATGCACATTTTGGCGACGAGTGTTCCATTTAATGAACCACAACGAAACTTCGAATCTGTATTCTGTTGGTCATGAAAAAGTACACTCCGAATCTATTCCAACCCTTGGGCGTTTCAACCTCAGTGAAGCGAGAAGTGTTTTACAATCTTCAAAATCAGCATTATTTACTCGAGACCCTTATGAACGAATGTTGTCTGGGTACTTAGACAAATTATTCACGATAAATACTCATTACATGACACACCTTGGGCGACCTATCATCAAAATGCTACGGAGAAATGAAAGTAAAATCACATGCGGTCATGACGTAACATTTACGGAATTTGTGCAATATATCGTAAATATGAAAAAGATTGGTGCGGAACAAGAAATCGACCATCATTTCACATCTTTGTATACCCATTGTTTGCCATGCGATGTCAAATACGACTTTGTGGGTAGAATGGAGTCCTTCGATGAAGATTCTTCTTTTCTCTTCAGAAAAATCGGCTTATTTCCAAACAGAACAATATCAGTGGGAAAGAATGATTCCATCAGTGATGATATACAATTTAAATTTAGAGTAGCATTTAATGCTAGAAATAAATTTTCAAAGTGTATGACGTTGGAGGAAATGTATGGTAGAGTCTGGACTACGCTCCAACTCAGAGGAATGGTAAACCCGGATGTTCAAATGCCTTATTTTCCAAATGCTACTATTGACATGATGCAGCAGGCGGCGGTCAGAGCTAGTGACCCGTCACGTGTGTCGGAGTTCAAACGCAGAGGATTTATCAATATGTACAAGACCTTGGACAGACGACTTTTGGAAGAATTAAGAGAATACGTTCTTCTAGATTGCAAGATCTTTGGATACAACGATAGGCCCGCTGAAATATTTTCATGAGAACTATAGTTTTGATGAAGACAATGTGCTCCGTGTTGTAAAGTAAAAACGTACTATCTTAAATAACCGGGTAACAAAAAATATAACCAATGCCTGTTTTTAATATTGATTGGTAAAAAATCTTTGTAAATATTGCCCATGCCTCTCTGTCTCAAAATATGCCCATTTGGGTTTGTATTAACTGCCAGATACAAATAGATGTTGACTAATCTAACCACTGTCAACAAAGTGTACTTTCGAAGAAGCATAACATAATAGCGACATCAGGTATAGATTAATAACACTACTTGAAAACCAATAAGTTGGTCTACACAATTTTTTGTGCCAGTGTTCCATCTGAATTAAGAATAGGGATGTAGTAATTTGATTCAGGTTCATATATGTTTTTAACAAATTCATGAAATATGTTGGGCGAGTATTGTTTTGCAAATATAATATGTCTGTTTTAAGTAAAAAAAAACAATAACATGTCATCATAGGATGATAAATATGTTACAGTGTCTTCTTTACCACCATTTGTTGAAATAAGGTTGTTGCCTGACCTTTTTCAAACAAACAAATTCATGTCCTGTCCTGGCTAAAATTGATGATACTCCATAGGTTTTACTTATTAATGGTACAGTTGTAAGTAAGTCCTCCTTAAGGTCCAACTTCAATACAATTGACAGTGTCACATCACTAATGACATGCAGAAATATTATCAGAGTATGTGGTAGAGAGGTAGTGTACATAATGCTTTCAGGTTGCATACAGTTACATATAACTGATTTATCTCTGCAGACTGCTGCAGACTTTATGGGATTTGTAACACACATTGAATCATATTGTGCCATTGAAAGTAAATCAATTGTTTGTGATTTTTTTTACCTGCAGTGCATTACAACTACTGCAACTTTTCACAAGCTCATAAATTAGTTTGAAACATTCTGCCCCAAGACATGACAGGTCTGATATAAAGTTAATATTTAAAAGGTAGTCTGATATATGTATCACAAAGTCTTCACTTGCCATTGAACTTGAATCGTCATTACGATTTTGAACAGCATAACTGAGCGATTCTGCTATCTTGTTGACACTTATTGCTCCTATTGTCAGAATGCACCGTCTTCATTCCTTTTGTCAGAGACAAACATTTAAGTAAAGGTTCAACATATGCAGGTAACTCTTTTTTTCAGTTCATAAAATAACATATAGCATGATTTTTCAACTTCCTTAATAATTCCATTACATTTAGATAAATCATTTATTTTTGAAAACTGCCATATGTTGTATAGTGGCCAGAATTATATGATCTGCCATGGTGACAAATTACACTTCTGAGATTATACTCTGTCAGCTTGTTATCTATCACCATATCACTGATATTTATATACCTGTCAACAGCCACATCAGTGTCTATCTTACTGGCACATCCTGAATGCTTATTATATTTATATCGTTTAAGGTAATCACTAGAGTCTTTGGTGTTGTGATCAAATGTTGCAACAGTGATAAGTCGTTATTACATACTGGGCACCTACCAATAGTAGATGTTTGAAAATATTCTTTAATCATTGGATCAATTGATGAAACTTTGTCATCTGGAATAAGTAGCTCTATATCTTGTATGTTTTCGTTATTTTTAATAGTTGAAGATTGGCAATGATTACATACATATTCCTGTTTAATTATTAATTTTTGCATCAATTATCTATGATATCATAGATATAACATTTGTGTAAAATTTATTAACATTTGTCTGCCTTGCCAATCCCTTAAACGTTTCATCAAATTCAGAAACTTTTTGCAAAGCTAAAAAAAACATGCTTCTAGGCACATCTTTACCGGTAACATCAAAATTGGCCATAAATTCCAGTATATTAATGATGCATCTAAATATTTCTTTTGATTCATAATCGTCACTAAGTTTCAGCGGTATTTTCACCAAAGCATCAATATACCTTTTTGCCATGTCGCTGCTATTAATGGCCTACATCATGGAATTAAACCAGCAGGTTGAACCGAGATTACGCCTTCCATTGTGTTTTCTTTTTTTGTCTTGCATATACAGTATATTTGATATTACGCTGAAGGCCTTTTCTTTTTCACTTTGTACTTGCTTTTTTTTCCAAGACTCTTTTATTGTTTCAGTACTTTTTCTGGCCTTTTTCTTATATGTCTTAAGAGCATCTTTTGCCAACAATCTTTGCACTTGCACTGTATGTTGCTGTAACTCTTTGGAAAAATCATCAATTCTGCTGTTTTTCCTGTTGTCAAGACTGATAGATTTTAATATTCTGAACCAGTTTTCAATAGTACTTTGCGTTTTTGAAAATGACATACCAGTTATAGTACGTGTAGCCCAAAGCGAGAAAATTGGTAGGTATTTGGTCAGAATAGTATGTAGAAATATATCCTGATAGTATAGGTTTTTCATGTTAGTTTTGTTCAATGATAGTTTTGCCAGCACTGTGTGGTTCACCTTACGACCCAAACTTTTGAATGGTGACTGTTGCTAGAGTCAGAAAATCATCTTCTGTGTAACGACCTGGTTGAATATTGTCTGCACTATCATGAATATCTTCAACATTTACACTGCTGCCAGCTATGGTCGTATCAAAAGTATTAATCTTCTGCAACAGTCGATCTATATAAAACTTGTTACTTTCACCAATTGTTGGAGATTGTAGGGCTACACAGATATCATGCAATAACTCTTCTGCTTCCTCAGTAATTTTTAATGTTCAATAGCAAACTTACCAAATACAAACCAAATTTCATATTTGTCTTGTAATGAACACTGTAAAACCGTTTTACTTTGTTCATAAAAAGGCTAGCACACAAGTGAACAATGGTCTTTTTAACAAGTTTCTGACTTTTTACCATTGAATAATTCTAATAAAGATTTCAGTATTGAACACATTGGGAGCAGAAATTATGAACACCCATGCCCCATCACTTACAATCAATTTTGGTTGACAAATAGAGCTGTGACCAAACCTTTTTTTCTGCATGTTGAAAAAATGTCATCCAATCCAATATCATAGGGACGCTTTGATTTCCACTAATCATAGCGCTAAGTGGGATGCCCATTTTTCCATTCACTGGATTATTTTATTGAGAGTTCATAGTATAGATATCTTTTGCTATCATCATTTTTTCTCGCCACACTTCCTGTAGCATCCCAATATAAAGGGTAATCTTTTGCCAAATTGTGTTATATATTGAGACCTTCCTCTGAACAATATAAAATGTAATTTGGTTTTGCACTTAACTTCTGAATGAAGCCTCTTCCTGATCTTTCCATATTTTCCATTTGTTGTATCATGCTAAGAAGCACATTTTTATCATACCTACCTATATGTCTGCTTTCAGTAGCAATTTGCCTAAATACATGGGTATCTTTTCCAAACCCAGCATTATTACCTGAAATAATTTGCTCAGAGTCAGTATACTTCTTTTTAAATATTCATTCAGAGGCTTTTCACCTCTTTTAAATATGTCTTTAAGAGCCTCTCTTTCACTACCAGAGATTGGTCTAGAAATTTGCTCACTGATATTATGCTTGATGTTGTTTTTGCAATGTACCTGTACATGTCCGAGTTTAAACATTTTCAAATTGACTTTCAGCGAATTTACATTATGCACATGCTTAAAAAAAGGAGCATTGACTTTCTTGCATCTCTTTTTTGCATTGCTTATTTGATGTCTGTCAGAAGTAAATACACAGTGTTTATTAGATTGTTTTATTCCTATAATAAATATCTCCTGCCATTTTCCTTTTTGATATATACGTCCATTATGCACTGAGCGTAAATATACCATGTCATCATTTTTTAAAGTGAAATCAGTTTGATCTGATAATTCTAGAGTAAAACACTGATCAGGTAATTTAATTTTCAGTCTTTCATCTATTGTCTCTTTATCTAGACAATTACTCTCATCAAAATAACTTGCATCCCGTTCAGATTCGTTAGATTTGTGATCATTGCAATTAGAAGAAGTGTCTTTTGAAGAATCAGAATAAAGTTTTATATACATATTTTCTTCATGTGTACTTTCTTGTTCATTTTCACTTTTTGCCCACATTTAAAAAACACTGTTTTGGAATGTATTTTTTGTTTTGAATGTTTGATATTGAAAGACATGTGCAGTGATACCATACACTACATATATCGTATTCTACCATAAGACCGTCATCAACTGACTGCCAATTTGTTGACTGACATATACAATATTTGACAGAGTTTTCACTCTCAAAAGAGCTCCTTTTCTTTAGTCTAGCTCAGGTAATGCATGATCAATCATATCATCTATTATGATGGATTTTGGTGGTACATTTGGTGTACACTCAGCAGTTTGGACAGGAGATGCACTTCTCTTATATTTACGTCCAACATTTTCTTTGCTTAGGGCTGTAGCTCCATGTATATTGTTAGTATTAGTAATCATGCTGTCTTTAACATTGCCTCTGTTTTGGTGCCAAATGGTTTTTAGGTAATTTCTATTTTTTTTTTTTTTTTTTTTTTTGAAATATTTTTCCATTTTAATTTGGTAGCTGCCATACCAAATGTACCATTTTCACTGATATCATTTTCTCCATATTGCCAACACAATGGTCGGAGAATGTTGCCAATAACCCTACAGTTCACATACCTGGAAAATTTTCTGCCTTTTCCTTACTTTTGACAAATATTTCCGCCACCACCTATCAACTTACCCTCTCCACTTGAATTATTATATATACCTTAAGTATATAAAATTATCTCGGTTTTACCCAGTATACCATATATTTGCATTTAATTTCCTGCATTCGGAAAGTGAAGAGAAAATTTACTGTAACAATGGATGTTGCAGAATTAATTGCTAGATGTCAACAAAGTCTGATACAAAACAAAGCCTAAGCATTTTCCCAAATTTTGTGAGAATCTCATCATTCATTTCAAAGAAGTTGATAGTACTTAAAAACAATGGAAGACCACAAAGGATGACGAAAAAAGAAAAAAAGTATTCAACTTAAA